GTGTTATTCAAGGCTTTCTGGGACATTAGTACCGACATATCTTTCAATGTCAGAGCAAGCGGCAGAAAACAAACTAATCTGCTTCTCCTTCTACCCTCCTTCCTCTCTCTCTTCTCCCTTTTTTACTTGTTTTTTCCCCCTCTGTCACTCTACATCAATCTCTGTCTTACACGCCCCCCCTCATCGCTATGCTACCGCAAGATGCAACATTGTCCTTCATCCTCCTTATGTCCTTCTCTTCACTTCTCTTTGCACCATGAAAGTTTGAATTGATAAGTTATTTGGGATTTTTTTCTTTGGAGTAGGCCTCAGGTTTCAGTTGTACTCAATGTTATGCACTCAATCTTTTGAACTTTGCAAAAGCAAGAAAAAAAAACTGTTTCTGGATCAACTTTCCTCCACTATCTTATGTACAGCAGCAACAAATCAAATCCCAAACAACACAGACAACTAAATAAATAAAAAGTGTGAACGTGTCTCGGTCTCTGAAAGAAGTACACAATGGATTAAGCCCAATTATGATTGGTGCAAACTAAAATCCAGGTGCTTGCATTGTTCTCAGCTGGTAAATTCAAAAACAAAAACAACAAAAACATGCAAACACACAAGCTTTCAGTACACAACTGAAAACACACAAGCTGACTGTTGCAACAGCTGTAGAACTATTTTCACTTTGCTTGTCTTCTGCATGTAAGGTGTAGTATGCTGGGTATGTTAATGGTAATAGTTTTTTTCTTGATTCTAACTTTATTTCAGTTCTTCACCACAGTTTTAAAACATAACACAGTTGGAAGGAAATTTGGAGCACTGGTTGCAATGTTGAAAGTGTTGCTGATGGTTCTAAAGGGCTTGATAGTATCCATCTCATCTGTCTGACATGTATTTGGGTTCTGGAGGTTTGAGCTGTGTGTTTTGACGTGCATCAGTGAGACGATGATAAGGAAATGCACAAGGTTATTGTCAGACTGGTTGATCATATCACCCGATACAGTAAGTAAAGAAAACTCCATGGTGGGTTGATCATTTCAGTATCTTTTCTTTACGTGTTAGCATTAATGCACATTTAGCAGCACTAAAGCAAATATGAAATTCAGCTCCAGCTGGACAGTGTAAAAGCCTTGTATATATATGTGTCAATAAATAATTCTCTTTGATGTTTTTTCTTTACATGATTATTAATTTACTTAAATCCTATGTTTTGTTATTCGCTTTGGGAATGTACTCTCCTTCATTAATCTTTCACTTGATTTGCCACTTGCTTTACTACAGATTCTATTGCGCCCATAGTAGTTAATGTACAACACAGAGTAACATGTTAACATGCATGTTAAGAAAAAATAAAAACACTGGACGAAACTAACAATAATAAGTCTTATTCTTATAATTTGGGGACTTGTGACTAATCTGGGGTGAGATTCAGGAAACTCCAAGAAACAACAACAAGACTTCTTTACCAAAATGCATTTCAAACTTTCAATTGAAAAGATATACACAAATTAGATCCTCGGATTAACTGCCTAGGGATCCACTTGAGGGGCAACCAGCAGTCAGTGTATGGTGACAACTACATACGATTTTCCAGAGACTAAAATTAAGATTTTTGTGTTCTTCAAAATGTCTGACATTATCTGAAATTCCAGTGGATATTTTATATAAATAAATTCCCAAAAACACCTTAAAAGTATTTATCCCAAAAATGTCAGTTTCTACTTAACTTATAAAGTATTGCTTTTTTTTTAAATAGTGGGCGATGGGAGATTTAATTTCCCTGCAATAATACATGAATATGGACTTACTCGCTGGAAAAAGGACAAACCTGGCCACATCATTATCACACTGAGTTAATGAGATTTCATCGCTAACAGCTTTGTCTTATCTTAAAGGTCAGGTCTTTGGGTGCAGTAACTCAACACAATGTATGATAAAAAAAGATCCACGGAGACACATATGACCTTGTGTATATTTTATTCACTCAAAAAATAACTGCAACAACCTGATGTGTACCCTTTGAGCAACACACAGCATCCCTAGAGCCATGAAAGTTAGAATTTCCCAATGGAGATCAATAAGCTATCAGGTTCATTTCATCATCACTCTGCACGCTTACATGAAAAATCTCACCCACTTGAATGCTAACTATGCAGAGCGTTTTCTCTAAGGAGCATTCAGTTTAATGTTGCTGACTGACAACAATCTCCACCCAGTAATATCAGAAGCATGGACATCTCACAACGATAATAACCAACACAAGTGTGAACACACTTGCAGACACACACACACACATTGCCTAGATGTATCGGCATTGAATGGAATGAATATATTAAAATGCACATATATTTGGTCCATCAGCCAGCGCCTTGTGAAACACACTCATCCACAGTGCCTCATACACACATCAATGTATTTTATGCTGGACTGGCAACTCTTCTTTAAAGACATGAAGCCAGAACACTAATACATGTTAGTTAGATTTGATGGAAGCTAACAGTGCATTAATGTGTCTATGGGTTGTGTTTGTGTGTGTGTCGCCTTTGTATATGTTATGCCTAGGGCCCACCCTTCAGCACTGAGCATTTCAGAGAGTAGATGAGATAAAAAAGAAGAAGAAATATATGGAAAATGGAGAAGAAAATAGATAACAGGGAGAAAAGAAAATAGAGACACTGCAGAAAGAAAACAGAAAAAATATAAATAGAGAAATAATAAAAGATAAAGATATGGCATGCTTTATGTGGATGTTTGTGTAACTGCATTTAGTAGATATTGCATTGTCTGATTATACTTATATATTATACTTTTTGTGCTTGCATCCATGTGTTTTTCAAAGATACCTCTATTTTTGGTGTGTGTGAATAACATGTGGGTTTCTGTGAGTTGAGAGACATAATGGACAGGAGTGTGCATCATCTGCTTTGTTGATGTTTCTAGAAAGATCCCTGTTTTCTCAGAATTTCATCTCTTTGTATAGTTGCAACTTTGTGCAGCCTATGCTCTCTAATCTAAACTATGAAGTGAAAAACATCATCATCCCTCCTATAACTCACCTGACCTGCCTTCGCTTCAGTCCCAGAAGAAGTTTAATGTCTCATGGTGAACTGTAATGCACACAATGGCTGTAACAAAACCATTAGCAAATTGTTAACAATACCATGTGCTGAGTACTGCCTTTTGTCTATGGATAATGGTCTCCCTTGTAGGCTCTTTATATTGACTGATGTCTAATTTTGGCTGAAAAGAGCAAAGGCAGGAAAATGGTCTACATGAGCAGTCTGAACCGGCTTTGAAACAAAAGCCTGTAATAATAGGTGCAGCATATTGAAATGTAAGTATCTTTTTATTAAGACAAGCAAACTTCATCCCAAACTCCTATATGAATACTATACTTGCAACACTGAGGACGAATTGATAAATTTAGAAATCATCCTTATGTCAATCACTTCTGTAATTTAAGAGCTACTGTTTTATTAAGCCTTGTATTGCTCCAACTATTATAACTGCAACACCAATGACACAAAAACTCTCTCTGAAGGGTAAGATGATATTAAATTAAAGTTGGCTACACTATTATGTTCCTCGTCGTTTCATGTATTATGGATTTAAAAGTAAAAGTTAATTAGGACTTACATTATAAAAAAATACAGAAAATTAAAAAGTTTTCTTATACAAACACACAGTTCTCATTTATCATGTTCTCTCATTTAGAACAATTCATAGGACACGTGCATTCACAAAATAGCCAAACAATGCTATTAACGAGTGGATGACAATCCTGGCATGTCAACATGTGCAATTAACCATGCACAATGTTAGCAACTGTAAGATTAAACCACACACAGTATAATTATTCTGTATAATTATTTCGATAAAGAGCAGAGGGGTAAGTGGAGTAGCATTTACTGAACCAATTAACTAATTATAACTTATTTTCAAATCCAAGAAAGCTCTGCTCTCTGCAACTGTTTTTAACAACCTGCTATGTCAGTATTTGCAAAACACAACTAAATTACTGTTATTTTTTGACATGTGATGCTGATTTTCTGTGTCTTTAAATCTATATTGGCCTTTTCCTTAAAAGTGCTTCGTTGTCTTTCCCAGTATTTGATTTGTAGTCGAACCTGACAGCATATACCAAAAAGAGGCTGGATTGTGACAGAGCCTATTCACTCAAGAAAGCATTAGCCTAAACATTTGTGCTTATTCTTCTTCTGCATTACATACAAATAAATATACAGCAAACTTCAAAAGACTACTTTTACCTTTGAGTGTGAACAGACAGTAGCCCATACTGTTTGATGTTCGGTTGTGCCTCGAAACAGAGCACTAATTTCAGCTTCCAGCAGCTGCCGGTACATCAGACAGATTCTTCTTGAGTGAAAAGTACGACAATGTGTAGATTACTTTTAAGGAAAGCACGACATAGTAAGATTCTTGTATAACTGGGAACATAGTCTATTGAAGTCCCAGGTGTGAACATACTTTGTTCAAAATTTGTTTAGTATATAATTGTTAGAAATTATTTCATTTCAGTCTGTACTAGAAGGATGTGTGTATGTATTTTCGCTTGATACATCCTGTGTGATGTAGCAGATCTTTGAAATGACTCTGCTTGCACTCTAATAAGAGTTTTGCTAATTAATTAAAGGTGTGTCAAACAAATGTTCTAACAATTTCTACTCAGGTAAGTTCCATGATGGCTCCGTTTTTTTTCACTGGGCAGACTGGGAGCACTGAGAATTTGACATGCTGGTGGAACGGTGGCCAGCAGGCATGGACAGCTCACTCTATGGCTATGCCAATAAGCACACACACAAGTACTGAGGGAGAGGCTTTGAAAATTACACAGACACACACACACACACAGCAAAAGCTTCACTAGCAGCTGGTGTTGCCTTTAGAAAAGTTACACCCCACCACTACACACACCCTCCACCCATACAGACAGACATCTGACAGATACAGAGTTACACACTATGGCCGTAACTCTACCACCCTTGGGACTCTCATGAGTGTGAGTGACTAAGAGACTGTGGGAGAGAAAAAGACAAGCACAATGTGAAAGAGAGAAAAAGACATAGAAAGGGAGAAAACGAATAACCGAGGAAATAACAGAGAATAGAGAGAGAGATGCTGCCCTTGCAAACACCTTATTACTCCAACTTAATGTACTGTGAAGTGTTATACTCTTTTCCTTCGACACTGGTACCTGGGTGGCTATGAGCTGTAAGTGCTGCACTCAGGTAGACGGACATGGTGCGGGATAAGACACATGACTCTGTCAACACAACATATGACAGCATTATCCTGGGCAATGACGCATTACAGAAGCAACAGCAACATGAGAGCACACATTATGGGATGTAAATGATATGGGCTTCTCTGTGATGGATCACACTTTGTTGCTCTATTTCTTGTACATTCTCTCTCACTAAACACCACTTTGTCACAAAAAAACTCCCCCGCCTTCCCACCAGCACACGCACACACACACACACACACACTTACATGTGTATCTTGGCCTTAAAAATTCTGTTTGTCCCGTCTCCATCCTTTCCTTTTCTTCTTCTTTCTTCTCCCTTTAGTCACTCTTTATACTCACATTTCCCTACTTCCCATGTTTTTATTGGGTTTCTTAATCTCTAAAGGATTTGGCTTCTTCCCACAATATCCTTTTAGTTTTTTTCCTCTTTCCATGCCATGCTAGCAGTTGGCTAAATCATTTAAGGCCAAGGGGCTTCTGTGTTTGTGTGGGTGTGCATAGTTGTTGGACAACTTTTTGGTGCTTAGACTTTGCTTAAGACTCAACTCACTTTTAATTCAATGAATGCAGGAATTTATTTACTTTAAGATTAATTCACATAGTAAAAAAACTTATTTAGAGGACTGTCATATTTAGCTTATTGGCTCCACAGTAAACGAAAAACACTTAAAATGCAAAAAGCTTCTATTTAAATTTGGAATTATTTGGCTTTGAGCCCCACATACACAGGTGTGTGTGTACGTGTTTGTGTGTACCTGCTGTTGCAGAGTGCTTAGCTGTTGTTGTAGTCCTTGGTTCTCCTTTTCTCGCTCCAGCTTAGAAGAGGCCAGCTGTTCCTTCTCTTGGCTCAAGTCCTGCAGCTTGTGCTCATAGTCCCCCTCCAGTTTCTTCAGCTCCACCTGCAACTCGTGGCGCGCCGTCAATTCTGCATCCAGCTAATATACATGTAAAGGGTCATAAGAAAGGACAGACTCAGTTACAGTATCCTAAAAAGTGTTTTAAAAAGTTTAAAGAGGCATCATCTTGAGCAATGTTTTCACAGATTCCCTTTAACAAAAAGTCCAATTAGTGCCAGGACTACACAGATACTGCACCACTAATATTAAAATGCTGTTCCTGATATGTTTGTGTAATGAATATTCAACTAATCGTGTGCAGCTTTGACTGCAGTAAAAGTACCAAGAGTGATAGCCACATCCACCTGGCAAACAAATCTCTTTTTCTGAAGATAGTAGGGACGGACATATCAGCCATAATGGAAGACTATGTGTAAAATGTATAAAGAATGGATATGGTGGTATTGCTGCAATACGGAAGGTGTACCAGTACAGGATTAGGGTTGAGCAAGAAGTCATCAAAAGCAAATATGTTTTTTTGTTTTTTTAACAATTTCATTTAAAAGGATGACTGAAAAAATGAAATAAATATCAACCCAGAAGCTACCAATACACTAGGGTTCTCCAATGAAATATGGGAGCAAAGAGTGTTTGCATGCACAAGCTTTTAGCCTCCCCCTCTTGAAGCTGCAGCAGCTTCGGATCACAAAGATCTGCAAAAGCCATTTCCTGCAGTCTAGTGCTTTCAGTTTCATTGTATAATTTACACTGCAAATTACTGTCAATTATTAAGTTAGGATGCTTCGGTGCACTTGTATGAATTCACTTCTCACTTCCATTTAAAGCCTTCACGTCCACTAAAAAGAAAAAGAGAGATAGAGAAACATTTTACCCCCAATTAAAATTTTTTCACTTTCGTACACTTTCAAGGATTTTTCTTCTAGTACACTTGACAAACAGGATAAGAGTATTTAAACAGATGAATCCATGAACCCACAGACACACATGGCTGTTTAATTTGCCGACAGCAGATCCGTTACTCTCGCTGTCAGCGTCCTGACAGCCTCATTCCTAATTCCTGCCAGAGACTGCCTGCAATTACCCCATCATACACAGCCAGCACTATGGTGTGTGTGTGTGTGGTCAACGAAAATTAATCCAAGTGCGTTCATGTAATGTGTGCTTATGTGGATAGGCATGCGTTCAATTGATATGATCCAATGTGAGAGTGTGTGTCTTTATGCGTGCCTGAATGAAGGCTAGTTTCAGCTCCCTCTTTGCAATTATCCTGTCACTGGGACAGGAACATCAGGGTAGTAGCACACCGCAATCAAGGCATTTACCCCCTTGTGTGTGAATGTGAGTGTGTTTTTGCTAGCCTCTAAAAGTATTTTTGTCGGGTTGCTGTCAGACATGTGTATGCTCATTCTCTTAGTCACCCTCTGTTCCTGCCTTTTTCTCATTTGTCAACCCATGTCAGCCAGACAACACTCGCATAGAATTTCATTACTATCGCAATGTGTTTAGGTGTGTGAGGGGGAAATGTTAGACTTACGATGCATGATTTTCTTTGGCGTCAATATGATTGTAATAGCTTGTGTGCTCTTGGGTGGATGCGTAAATATGTTATGTAAGCTATAATACGTATATAGCATGTTGTTGTTGATGGTGTTTTTTTGTGTGTTTGTATTTATGATTTTCAGTGTGAATGAATTTGTGTATTTCACCTTCTTCTCCAGTTCATTTGCCTTGGCAGCACTGGCTTCCACCTTGGTCTGGTCCACCATGTTGTCTGTGAACAAACAGAGAGGACAGAAGCAAGGAAAAGAGAAGGAGACAAAGAGGTGGTGGATAAGATAAGGGTTTCAGACAACGGACCTGCACACGTCTGGCACTGAAGACATCGCACCCTTCAGCCTGGCACATACTGTGTACACAAATACATTCACAAACAGACGCATACACACGAAACAAGTGTCCTATGTGTCTCCCTATTTTTCCCTTATCACACTACTCAGTCAAGATCCCTGAGACAATTGTGGAGGCATCTCATTACAATAGGATGCCATCTGTTGCATACTGCTTCTACACATCATTTCCTTGTAAGCCTCCAATACATACACCTCTGTCTTACTCTGTGTATGTGCGCACACTAATTTCCCTCTATCCGAAATACGTCTCTCACCACTTTATTTCAAAGTCTTATATGGACCCCTCCCTTTTCCGAAAGACTATCCAAAAATAAAAGAAAGACTATATAACAGTGTGGGAGTAATCCATTATCAGAGGTTCTGCTTGGCAGAAGACAGGGTGAGAAGGACACAGGCTAACCAACAGGGTACTTTTACAGAATAATTGCAGGGTCTACAGGTGGTTCAGTGCCCAAGGGCTTGCTGAGCATGTGCAATAAAAGAGCTAATTAACATGAAGATGAATGCCACAAAGTCACTGGATCAAAGACAGCTAATCATGATGCCTAAGACAGGGTTCGAACAGATAGGTAGCAGAGACAGAAGAGCTGTGAAAAGCTATAATGGAAAATGAAAAAAATACATAAATCTGTAGAAAGTGAATTATACACACAGAGAGAGAGAGAGA